GGCGACGCCGTCTCTCAGTCGGCAGTTGTCTCGAGGAGTTAGCTCAGGATCCGCCGAGGTTGTGCCGGGGGATCAGGAGAGTCCAGAACTCCTCCCTCCTCCGTCCTCTCCTCGTCCTGTTTCCTTACCTGCTCCTGCTCCCCCTCCTTTGCCTGCGTCTCCCAGTTCCCTTTCCCCGGTCACCCCGTCTCCACCAGAGGGGGCGAGACCTAAGACGAGGGGGCGCCTCACCCAGCCTGAGGATGTCCCAGCTTGCATTCGAGCTGCGAGGGCCGGGAGCGCCCCTCCTGAGATAAAGAGAGCCAGGACCGAACCCTCCTCGGCCCCCTACCCTCCTCGCCCCGTCGGTGGAAGTGCCTCCTCCTCCTCCGGTGTTGGGGGCCCTGGACCTGGACCGGAGACTCGGGGGCCTGTCAGGACCGGCGACGAGCCGAGGCAGTCTGTCCTGGAGCGTGTTCAGGCCATCGAAGCCCGAGCCAGGTCACGGTCGCCAAGTCGTAACGGAGGAGCCGAGGGAATAGTCGAGGCAGAGGCCACCAGCGAGTTTTTCGCGGTCCCGGGGCCGATCGACGGGCTCTCCGTCATTCCTGGGAACGTCGAGGGGTTTGTCGGGGCCGTGTGCGAAAGCATTCAGGACGGGGACACCTTTGCGGCTAGCCGCGGGGAAAAAGTGACCCTCAAGAGGCTTACCCCTCAGGAGCGTCAGAAGTTTCAGGCGTCAGACGACAAAGAATGGAAGGCCATGCTGCAATCCGGGGGTGTCCGAGTCATCCCTCCGAATCAGGCGGCGAAGATCCGGCAACGTTGTCCGGACAGGATCATATCCAGCCGAATGGTGCGCCGATGGAAGCCAGTTGAGGGGACTTTCGTGGAACCAGAAGCGAAGTCCAGGTGGTGCGTGCACGGTCAAGGATCCCGACTCTGGCTCCCTCGCCGTATATGCGCCCACCCCCCAGACCTCGTCTATTATGATGTTCATTCAGGTACTGGTCAATTTCAGGATGCTCGGAGACATCGCGGATGTCAAGAACGCTTTCACCCAGTCAGATCCGATGACGCGGTCCCAGGGCCAAATATATGTTGAACCTTGCGAGGGTATCGACGTTGAGCCTGGATCCCTTATCCTATTGCTGGTGAACGTTTACGGGCTGGACGATGCTCCGGTAGCGTGGCGTCGCACCGTGGTTGGCCATCTGGAAAAGCATGGGTTCGAAAGAAGTTTGCTGGGGCCCTGCTGGTGGTTGAAGTATCGAGCAGATGGAGCCATCCAGAACATGATGTTGCTGGAAGTCGACGATTTCTTTATCGGGGGTGCGGATGCGGATGCCCGAGCGTGGATTCGCGGTATCCTAGAGGACCGCTTCCGTTTCGGGAAGTATCGAGACTGTCATGCCGGCCCAGTGGATTTTGCTGGTAGGCGTGTTTCCTTCTTTCCCGGCAAGGCCGTTGTTGACCAGGAAAAGTACATCCTGGAAGAAATCCGTCCTCTGACCCTGGCCCGGGGCCGCTTGTCTGTCAAGAATTCCCCTCTCGAGCCGTCCGAGTTTAAAGCTTTGCGTTCTCTGGTCTACAAGTTTAATTGGGTCGGCCGAGAGTCACGGCCAGAAGCGGCCGGAGTAGCAAGTATTTTGGCCAGTCGTTTGCGAGCTCCGACAGTGTCGGACGTGTCTTGTGCCAACAAGTTGGTGAAGCACCTGAGGGCAACAGCCTCTCGAGGATTGACGATCTGGCAGCTAGACCCTGAGCGTATGTCTTTCATATCGTTTTCCGATGCCGGCGGGGTTGGTTCGGTAGAGTCTCTCCAGGATGACAATGGCCTCCCAGCCGACCCCACCCAGGGAGCCTGGATGGTGTTGGCCGCCGACAAGTCTGTTCTCGATAACCAGGTGGTAAGGGCGTCCGTGCTCGGTTGGCGTAGCAGTAAGCTACGGCGTAAGGTGCCTTCGACGTTGGCCGGAGAGACTCAAGCTCTCTCGGCCGCCGTGGCGGAAGTCGAGTTTCTTCAAGTGTTGTACCGTGATGTTGTGTTCAAGGACGTTGATCTGCCTGATTGTGTGCGGGCCTCAGGGCCCTTTACTACGGTCTTAAGACGCGATTGTAGCTTGGGTTCCCGGGAACAACAGGTCCACGTGGTGGACGCCAAGTCAATCTATGATACCTTCCAGAAGGAAGGCAACGCTTCGGCCCGTGATAGGCGCACTGCTCTAGACCTCGCCATCATCTGCGAGTCCTTGGAGCGAGCCAGAGGTAAGATACGGTGGATACCCCATGGCCGTATGCCTGTGGACGCTTTGACTAAGGACGACGTGACTAAGTGTAATGCCGCGCTGTTTGATTTGATGACCAACGGCAAGCTCAGTCTGGTGGACGAGGCCCAAGAGGTCGGCCGCCGGAAGGACATGCCCGAGCGCAAAGACCGCTCTCAGGCAGCCTCCAGAAGAATGCTGTCAGAGCCCGCCTGGATAGCATGGCTCGACTACCTGGACCAGAGGGCTCCTCCTGGCCTGGTTGGTGGTGGTGGTGTCCTCCCGTCCTCCTCCTCTCTCCCTCCGCCTTTATCATCCTCCGAATCCGTTTTCCAATAATCTGCTCTCTAGTTCTGCCTCTCTCTCTCTCTCTCTCTCTCTCTCTCTCTCTTTCTGCTGCTGCGCAAGTTTGACATTTGCAGGTCGTTTTGACACTGCCAGGCAGTGGCCACGGACCGGCGAATTGAGTTTTGGGACAGCTAAACCTAGAGAAAGTTGGACCCATGTTCCAGGGGTCCATAATCTCACGTATAGGTTTAGCTTTTGGTGTTTCACTCTGGGGACCGATCGACAGAGATCCATCTTGTACGTGTCCGTGCCACATGTGGCTCAAGGGAAAACAGTCTGTCCCCTCTCCTGCTGCCACAATCTTCTGATGTCCCTTGGGAGTGTCCTGAAGGCCTGTTAGGGCGTCTTGGGAGCGTCTTGGCGGTCCCAGAGGCCTCTTGGAGCGTCTTGGATGCTTCGGGGAGCCTCTTGGGGCATCTTGGGGGTATCTTGGGGGCCTCTTGGGGGCCTCTTGGGGGCCTCTTGGGGCCTCCTGGGCGCCTCTTGGGGCCCTCATGAGGCGCTCTTGAGAGCCTTGGGGGCGCTCTTGGGGCCATCTTGGAGGACATCGATCAAAAAAGGGAGGGGGGTTTAATTAGCACCGCCCCTCGGGAGCCTCAAAAATCGCCTCTTGGACCACTCTTGGAGCGCTCTTGGAGCGCTCTTGGCTCTTGGGCGCTGTAGGGGCCGTCTTGGGGCTCTCTTGGGCCCCTCTTGGGGCTTTCTTGAGCCATTTTGGAGCCATCTTGAGGCCTCGGATGGCCATCGGAAGCGAAACGGCAAGAAAGCAAACATCATTGGTTTTCTTATGGTTTTCAAAGGATCTGTGCCTCTTGGAGGCCTCCTTGGAAAGCTATTTTGCCTCTTGGAGCCGTCTTGGGACGGTCTTGGAGCCTCTTGGAACATCTTCGGAGCCATCTTGAGGTATCTTAGGCTATAATGATCAATCTTGGAGGTCATCTTAGGCTTTCCGAAGCGCTCTTGGAGCCATCTTGGGCGAAAAAGTACCTTCTGACCGCTCGCGAAACGCCCCGTCCAGGTCCAGGGGAAGGGGTTAGGGGGAGGGGTAAACCCCTCCCCGAAGGGGAAGGAGGGGTGGAAGAAGAAACTCTCTAAACCACCTACGCCCAGAGGGCTGGTGGGATTCGGCTTGCCTGGTCGTTCATAGTTGGATTCATCCGGGCTTCCCATCTCTTCCAGTACTGTGCGTGCTTATCGCCATCTCAAGTTCAAGCGAAGTGGTGAACTTGTCTTTCCCACCGCATCCCTCCCTGTGAAGGGGTCCAGTAAGCGTCACAGGCGTGACCAGACCAATCCCGGAGCAGGGCCGCACCGCAGTGGAAACATGAGGCTGGAGTAGTACAGGGGCGGTTGGGCGGGACAGCGCGCGAACAATTGTTTAGAAGGCGCGGGCCTTGTCTGTAGATGTAAGGCTGGCGCCTTCTAAGAAGCGGCCTCCTTCTAAGAAGCTTTCCCCTCCCCCTACCCCTCTGCGCACCGCCAAACGTTTCATGATCCAGCCATGGGGTGGACTGGTGTTTTCGTCCCCAGCGTCTTTCGGCATGCTCGGTTGCTGGGGGCCCTTGTCGAATCCCTGGGCAATCAAACGTGGATCAGGGATGGAAAGCTGCCTCGCAGAAGGGATCGAGATCCAAAGAGCGAACCAGGAGAGGAAGTTCGAGGATCCGTGTTTTTCTCGGGAGGGCCAGGCGGTGAACGGGAAGGATCGGGATAAATACCAGCAGCAGTGCCTGCCCTCTTTGGACAGGAATCGCTGTCGGTGTCGCCGCGGACGGTGTCAACCTGGGACGAAGGGCGCCTGCTCAGCAGCGGCCGTCGCTGGTGTTGGATAACGTTTGCCGTTTGGGATTCTCTCTGTTTAACCTTTCCGTTCCCGGTGCCGATCCAGGTTCGTTGCGGTTTTCAGCGTCTGGGGGCCGTTGACAGGCCAGGATGGATCCCAGGAGGGGTTGTGGAAGCGACTTTGAGCGGATCTCGGGGCTTGCAGGAGGAGGAGGAGGAGCAGGAGGAGGAGGAGGAGGAGGAGGAGGAGGCGGAGGAGGAGGAGGAGGATGCGGAGGCGGAGGTGGAGGCGGAGGCGGAGGCGGAGGAAAAGTACCGATACAGATGCCCTTCCCTCGCCTTCGCCCTTCCCGCGGATTCCTTGCGAGGCCCTCGAAGCCACGGTCAGATCCCCTCCGGGAGAGCGCGCCCCAGGAGAGGTGGTCTGGGGAGTGGCGGTATCGGCATCTTTCTGTCCCCCTCAGGACCACACCGTCCTCCCCCCCTCGTCATCGTCGTCGTCGTCGTCGTCGTCGTCGTTGTCGTTGTCGTCATTTCTGACAAGCCGCATCGCTTCCAGCCTCCCTGTGTGCGCCGCGCACTCCGTGGGACGGATGGCTGGCTGCTGCGCGCCCGCCCGCCCAGGAACCACCCCGTCCAGATCATCGGCGCTTCTGCCTCGGCCAACAGCTGGATGGTGTACGACATGCTGGAACGCCTCGCCAAGGCCAAGTGGCGAAAGAAGCGCGACGCCGCGCGCCGCGTGATGCCGAGCTTCGTCCAGTGTGCCGTCGACACTGCGTCTCCAGAGCCCGCGTCCGAGCAGGAGGAGCCCTCGAGGCCCGGGTGGGCATGAAGCCATGGCTGCAACCAGCCCGAGGATCCCAGGACGCTTCAGTAGGAGGAGGAGGAGGCGGAGTAGGAGGAGGAGGAGAAGGAGGAGGAGGAGGCGGAGGAGGAGGAGGAGGAGGAGGAGAATTTGTTTTTTGACATCAACGCAATCGCCGCCAAATCCTTGGACTGACCAAGGTAGCGAGCCAGCAGCGAAGGGGGATGCTGGCTCCCCGAATGGCGACCCATTCAGTCTGAGTCGCCTGAATCAAAATCGCAGGCTCGTGGGGCCAAGGGAGGAGCAACGCCCTCCTGCCGCTCGAGCTCGAAACGGGCCTGGCACGACATCTCTCTTAGAGAGTGGGCGGGCTCAGAAAACCGACGAGCAGGGGCATCCGAGCTGCTAGAGTCAAGAGCGAACACATCGCTGGCGAGCGCAACGCCCACCTCGCCTTTCCCCGACGAGGGCGCCGGCGGGATGACCATCGCGCTCCGCTGCAACAAAGAAGGCACTCCACCAAGCACTCTGCCTTCCACCTCCGCCCCCGAAACAGGAATGGGAGGGGAAGGCTCCCCGCACAGCTGCGGGGAGGGCCAGGGCAACGCGCCAGGCGCGAGGGCAGCGGCAGCGCCAGAGCAGGCCGCCTGTCCAGGCTCAACCCGCGCGGCTGAGGCAGCGCCCTGGGCCGCGCCGAAGAGGAAGCTAGAAGCTTCTTCCTCAACTTCGAAGTCATACTCCCTGGGCCCAGCCTGATCAGGCTGAGGCTCAAAGGACCTAAGTTCAGAAGATCCCCTCCCGTCCCGCCCCAGCTCCACCCCCCGCTCCACTCCAGGGGAGGAAGGAGGTTGAGGAGGGGCCACAGGACCAGGGAGATCCTGAGCGGCCTGAAATTCCAGCTCATCAGCATTGAAATCAGGCCTGTTGAAACACTCGATGAAAGAATCAAGATCAACCGAGACGCCGTGCTTGCGCCGAGAGTAGTGGGAGTGCCTGCCACGGCAGAGCTGCACCCACCCAAGCCTGCCAGCACGAGTCGGAGGAGCACAATTATTGGCCAGGCCTCTGACTTGGCCTCCAGGCGAATGGCACTTGCACCTCATACAGATAAACAGCACGGAGTGGTCCGAACATTCGAAAGCCAACGTCTTATGGCCCAAACGATCTTGATGAGATGCGTGCAAATTACTGTCACGAGGGCATCTTCCACTGGTAGGGGGAACCAGAGATCTACTGCCTTTGAGACAAAGCCCGCACCTCCAAATCCCCGCCCAGCGCTCCCAGCGATGATCTGCAGAGGCACTGGCAGGAGAGGGAGGAGGCTTCACACGCTCAACACAGGAGAGATCGACCGAGGGCCAAAGATGGAAGACAGCACTGGCGACTTTCAAGGTGGCCTTCGCAAAACGAACCAGATCGTCGGATTCCTTGAGCAGACCAGCATTAGAGGGATGGATGTGCAGAGCCATCTTGGCTCCAACATCGGCGAAATTGTTACCTGTACGGCGCCATCGCTCGTCGACATCGATCGTAGGATCATCGATGTCCTGGTGAGCATCAGCCCTAGTGCAGCCCGAGACCGCCGAAACCTGGCCATGGCACTGCAGGAAGGCTCCAGAGTACATCTTTTTGCCAGATGACTTGCTCAGGCTTGGAGCGAGCCGCGAGCCTAGCAACATTCAAGCAATCAGAGTATACTTGGCACTCACCAGGATGAGTGGCTCAGGCGTTGGCCCAGGTGAAGGCACCAAACTCCGCACTCTGGGGGGTCTGAGGGTATGGGGCTCCGGACGGGAGCTCTGACTTCGGCCGCGAGGGCCCCACCCGCATCGGCCATGCAGACAGAGCTTGCAGCACGAGAAAGCTCCCGAACGGGGTGCCGAGCACAAGAGCCATCAACAAAAAGCGGGCCCCAAACGCGATTGGTGATGGGCCCTACGTCAGGGGCCGAAACAGGAGGAGCGTGCCAAGTGAGGAGCGGACCATCATCAGCCTCCACAGCAGGCCCGGGGTAAGAGTCGGCGGGATGCCGAAAGGCCCCAGCTATAAAGACGAAGTAGTCTTCGAGCTTCCCAGAGGCCTTAGCAGACAAAGCAGCATCGATGATATCCTGTTTGACTGCTTCAGCGCGAGCCTTCAAAACCTCGGGGTGCTCTCGTTTCCACAGGCGGTGGAAGACGGTGTCTCTGGCACCGCAGAACACACAGTCAGGGGAGACACAATAGCCGAGGGCCTCCGCCCTGGCAGCCGTGAAAAAGGCCTCGGTGGCGAACGCTCTGATCCTGGCCTTCTGCAGGGCCGTGAACTTCTTGGTCCTGGGGGAAACCGCTTGCCGAACAATGTCGTAGCAGATCCTGGAAGATATTCCCCTTTTCGCAGCCGAATCGCGCTCAAGCATGCGAAGGGACCCCTCGCGGACCAGGGGCCTCACCAGGGCAGGGGAGAACAAACCAAGGAGGATAACTTGCCCGAAATCGTCAACTAAGCTGATAAAATCTTTAATGTACCACCCGAGGCGGACCAGCGACATGCGGAGGTTGCCTACACAGAGTAAGTACCTATATGCAATCAACATATGGTGGAGGGGGTAGAGAGGGAGGAGGATAAGGAGAGGGACAAGGAGGATGAGGGGAATTCCGATGATGATGCTGATGACGATGATGATGCTGGTGCTGATGCTCATGATGCTGCTGCTGCTGCTGATGACGATGATGATGATGATGATGATGTTGATGATGATGATGCTGATGATGTTGATGATGCTGCTGATGATGATGATGATGATGATGATGCTGATGCTGCTGATGATGATGATGCTGATAATGATGATGATGATGCTGATGATGATGCTGATGATGATGATGATGATGATGATGATGATGATGATGATGATGATGATGATGTGGAGGAGGAGGCCGAGGAGGAGGAGGAGGAGGAGTAGGAGGATGAGGAGAAGGAGGAGGAAGAGGAGGAAGAGGAAGAGGAAGAGGAGGAGGAGGAGGAGGAGGAGGAGGAGGAGGAGGAGGAGGAGGAGGAGGAGGAGGAGGAGGAGGAGGATGACGAGGAACGGGCGGAGGCGGACGATGAGAGGGAGGGACCGTGACGGGAGGGAGGGATGACTGAGGAGGAGGAGGAGAAGGAGGAGAAAGGACAGGAGAGGAGAGAGGACAGGCTAGGTTTGCTCGCGCCTCATCTGATGTCCTATCTCTCCCTCCCATCCTTTCCCGTGGCGCTGATGTTTCTCTATCCGCGGATGCGCGTCACGGCCGACCTGCGAACGGCGAATCACACATAAAAAACATGTCGTTTTATGCGCAATCGGATGAATCGGAGTTGCGTGCACAGGAGGAGGAGGAGAAGGAGAAGGAGAAGGAGAAGGATAAATACGAAAAGGACAAGTATGAGGATGAGGAGGAGGAGGAGGAGGAGGGGCAGGAGAAGGAAAAAGAGGAGGCGTTGGCGGGTGAGCATGAGGATTGGCGGAAAGAGCAAAATGAGGACGAACAGCAGCAGCAGGAACTACGTAAAGCGGGAGGAGCAGGATGGAAATGAGGACCAGGGGGGCCGGAGAAGGGGAAATGAGGGTGGCGACAACGACGACTAAGGACTCGGATTGAGAAAAGTTCCCCGCGCTGGGGCGAGACGAACGGCAGCAGCAGGAATTGGATTGGAAGGAGCGGGAGGAACAGGAGGACCAGGGGAAGGCGGAGAAGGGGAAATGACGTGAGGGACCACCTCGGATCCAGAAAAGTGGCCCGCGCTGGGACGAGCGCGCCATTCTGAACGACGGGAGCAACGCGCCGATCCGACAATGAAAGCCACGCTGCAGCGGGAGCACCATATTGAAACACCACAACTATTATATGGTGAAGCGGTCTAAAGAATTTGTTTTGAAATCCGGTGTAAAAGAAGAGCCCGCGGAGATTTTCTGGACAACTGCAGGGGAGGAGGTGGAGTAGTAGTCATCTGGTTTAATCATGGAGGAGGTGGAGGAGGAGGAGAAGGAGGAGGGGAAGGAGGAGGCGGAAGAGGAGGAGGATGAGGAGGAGGAGGAGGAGGAGGAGGAGGAGGAGGAGGGGGAAGAAGAGGACGACGGGGAGGTGAATGGGGGAGGAGGAGGAAGAGGAGGAGGAGGCGGAGGAGGAGGAGGAGGAGGAGGAGGAGGAGGAGGAGGAGGAGGTAGCGCCCGTATCGTGCCGCGCCGCAGAGGCCAGCGAAAAGGGGCGCGCCCCTGGGGATCTGTCACGCCGTGGCGCGGCTGGACGTGGACCAGACGAGCCTGCTGGAGGACCTTGCTCGTCTCGGGGGCAAAAGACTGGCGCTTTTTCAATGGATCCTCCCTCCATCTTTCGAAGTGAAAGAGACGCAAAAAGGTATGACTAGACTAGGAATGTTCTAGCGGCAGTCCCGGTTTGAAAAGGACCTGCCCTCCATTCGTGCAAGTATTGCACAAGGTCCCAGCCCTTGCGCCAAATTAGCAGAAGGCTCATAATTAGAGCCCCTGCTGTGAAAAGGAGCCGCCCTCCATCCGTGAAGTTGCTGCGCAACTGGGAATTTCGAGTCACAGAGTTCGAGGACGTCTCAAGCGAGAGCTGCATTTTGAAAACGAGCTGGCCTCCATCCTTGTAATCGTTTGAAGAGCCGCATGTTGAAAACGACCAGGTCTCCATATTCTGCAATTGCTAGGAGTTTTCAAGACACATGTGTGCTACGCTTATGCAGACACCACATGCGTGAGTCCACCAGGCCTTCACGTTTGAGTTTAGAGCTTTTGAAACGGGCTTGCGCGGTACAAAGGCGAGAACCGCATTATGAAAACGACTGGCCATCCAGCTTTGCAGTTGCCGGAAAAATTTGAAACACATGTACGCGGCGCTACGGCGAGACTCGCATTTTGAAATGACTGGCTCTCCATCCGTGTAATGGCTTGATTTTGTAGTATCCCAGTGGTAAGTCGCCAGGAACTCTCAAGAGAAACGGCGGGCTCAGCCTGCAGACAAGTCCAGTGGCGCGACGGGGGGAGTTGTTTACAAGGAAGAAATGGTGGAGGAGGAGGAGGGGGAGGAGGAGGAGGAGGAGGAGGAGGAGGACGAGGCGGAGGAGGAGGAAGAGGAGGAGGAGGAGGAGGAGGAGGAGGAGAGGAGGAGGAAAGGAGGAGGAGCAGGAGGAGGAGGAGGAGGAGGAGGAGGAGGAGGAGGAGGAGGAGTTAGATGCCGCCTCGGGTCATGCTGCTTTGCTGCCTGTGTGTGTGTGTGTGTGTGTCAGCTCCGACCTCGCGCCCAAGGGGCAGGACCAGCTTTACGCAGCGCAGCGCGTTGGAGCATTCGCTTCGTTGCCACGATTGCTTGTGTTGTTTGGTGTTTTTTGCCCTTTTCCTTCTGGCCTGTGGTTGCCCTTGTGTGCCGTCTGGCCCGCGGTCGCACGGGCAGCGACTTCGTCGGCCAGTTTCATCACCTCGACTTGTTTATCACCGTCCTGGGCCGGGTAGGTCGGGTGTCACTTGCGGCCTCTCGGCTTGTGGCGTCGTTTTCCTCGGCTTAGTGCGGCGGTTGCAGGGGGCGTCTGCGCTGCCTGTGCTTGCTTCTTCACCCGCCGTTTTTGCTGGATCCTTTTCTTGCCGTTCCTCGTTGTGTGCTTCGTCTCTCCCTCTGCCTGCGCGCCGACTTGGTTGTGCAGCGCGCCAGGCTGTGCTCGGTCTCTCTTGTCGTCCAGTGGTGTCATTATCTTTCTTACGTTTTTTGTAGTTGTACCCGCTGTCCAGGGCATTTCTGGGAGATGCGACTCTCGGCCGTGTTTGCCCACTGCGGCGTGCTCGCGCCTCCTTGTCGTGCATTGTCGTTCGTTTTTCTCGCCTCTGTCGTCTGCGGCCTGATATTGTCTCTCGTTGTGGTTGTCTCGTCTTCCCTGCTCTTGGCTCGCGTCGGCTCTCACTGCGCTGGTGTATGACACTCGGTAGCTTTTTCTTTTTGTCTTGCAGATCACGCCTCAGCCCGCTTTTTGTGCGGGGGTCTACGGCTTCGGTGTGATCGCGGTCGCCACACGTGCTATCGCAATTACAGCCAACCTGGCCCATGTGCTTCTGACACATTGCTGCAGCAATATTGTAGAGAAGGAGCATGTGTGTGAACATTATACATATATATATATATATATATATATATATAGAAGGAGCATGTGTGTATATATAACTTTTCATGCCGTATCGTGTTCTGTGGGCGCCTGGAAGGGGGGTATTTTGGAACTGCCCCCCCCCCTGGTTCAAGGGGGGGGGTCGAACGCCCCCCCAACCCCTCTCCCGGGGGTGGGGGGTGCGCTCACTTCCACCTGCCCTCCCAACACGTAGGCACGATCTGGGCCTGGGGCGCAGATTTTGCTGCTATTGTTTTGGTCAGGGGTCGTGAGTCTGCACGCAGCTGCCGATGTAAGGGCACCCCGCCGCCGCCCCCTCTGTCAACAGCCAGTGCAACATGATTGCGGGGCGCCCGCGCATGAACCAGCTTTTGTCGCACAGTGTTTCTTGTGCGATGGAAAGGGATGGAAAGGGATGCGCAGAGCGGACATTTCGAGGGCACCGCCGCCCTCCCTGTCAAAAGCCAATGCGAACTGCGCACGGGTCGTCCAGGAGGGCGCCCGCGCACGGTCCAGATTCTGCCGCAGAGTGTGCTTTGCATGGTGTTTGGTAGGCCTGCGCAGAGTGGACAATATGAGGGCCCCCCCGCCGTCTTAATCCAACGCCACTTGCGAAGTGCTCACGGGGCGCCCGCGCATGTCCCAGATCTTCCCGCAATGTGCACCACTCTGCGTTGTTATTCGACGGGGGCGGGGGGGTGTCCTCGCTGGCCCTGGTTTGTCGCCGGTCGGATGGGGGAGTGGATGTTTACTTGTAAGTAATAGCGATCATGCTCCCCCCCGAGGGATGGTCGTCTCGCTCACCCACACCCGCCCTCCCACCACATAAGCAACACCCGAGTCTGAGCATAGGCAGAGGCTGCCATCGACAGCCATCGGGAACCAACGCAGACGCCAGTCCTCGCGGAATGCAAATTCAAAGTGATCGCGGGGCGCCCGCGCGTGGTCGAAGATTTTGCCACAACGTGCGCTTTGCATCGTTATTTGACATGGATGGTGTGCCTGCGCACGCGGGGTAATGAGATTTTGCTCCCGTCGTCTGTCAAAAAACTGTAAAATGATCGCTGGGCGCCCGAACATGATCCAACTTTTGCCGCAACTGTTTTTATTGTCAGGGGTAGTGCTGGGGGGTTGGTGTTGCACCTGGTTTGTCGCCGGTCGGGAGGGAGAGTGGGTTTATTGTTAATCAGGAGCAAATGTTCACCCCTTCACGCAGGGGAAAGGGGGTGAGGATGAACGCGGAAACGAGCTAAACCACCTCGGCCCGGCGGGATGGTGGGATTTCTCCTGATTCTCCTGTTGCTCCTGTTCCTCCTGGAGGGGGAGAAGGGGAGGGAAGGCGAGAGGGAGGGAGGGAGGGAGGGCGGGGGAATGGTGAGGGGCAGGGGAGGAGGGGAGGAGGGGAAGCGAGAGGCAGCAGGGGTGCAAGGATGATGAGAGGTGGAAGGGGCGGAGGGGGGAAAGGGGGAGGGGCGGAAGGGGGGAGGCGGAGGCGGAAGGGTGGGGATGGGGGGTCTGCTGGAAGATACCTGTCTGATTAGGGCGGATGGTCGGGAGGGGGTGAGACGGAGATTCAAGATTCAAGGGTTGCTTGCGTCCGAAGGTCCGCAGTCCGCGGGGCAAGGGTGTGGGGGCGATTGGAAGGCTCCTCCTCCTCCTCTTCCTCCTCCTCTCACTCCTCCTGTTCCTCCTCGTCGTCGTCGTCGTCCTCCTCTTTCTCCTCTTCTCCTCCTGCTCACTCTTCACTCCTCCGTGCAGCTCGAGATGACGACGAAGACGATGAAAAGACCGCCGTGGGGAGTGGCAAGACTGCTGGAGGACACTTTCAACGTTGGGCGGCTGGAGCTGATGGTGAACATCGTGGACAAACTAAAAGGCTCAGGAGGAGGAATATGAGGAGGAGGAGGATGATGATGAGGAGGAGGAGGAGGAGGAGGAGGAGGAGGAGGAGGAGGAGGCATCATTCCTCCTCCGCTTCTTCCTCCACTCACGGCTGCTACTTTGGGCCAGCCTGGGTCACTTCTGGAGCGCTGCCCGAGACCAGCCACGGAGCGTTGATGCTTCGCGGTCGTCCCTTCCCCTGCAACCTGCTTCCTTCAGGAAGACGGGTTGCAAACCACTCTGCAAGGCTCCATCATGGTGCTGATCCCGCGGCAGATCAAGCTCGATGGCGTCCTGAACATCCTTCGGGAGGCCGGTCACGAGCACGCCGCCAAGTTCAAAGTCAAGGTGGGCCTGGGCTTGGACGACGTGGCGGCCGCGTTTGACTTTGGGCGGAAAAACCCGGGCGTGGCCGAGCCGGAAGCAGAGGCACCGAAGCCCTCTTCCTCTTTTTTATCGCTTTGTTTTGTGCCAGTTCTCCCAACCACCCTGTTGTGTTGGGTCCCTGTTTTGAAGAGGCAGCGCCCTGCGTCACTTCCGCCTCCCGGTGCCCCCGCCTCCCTCCGCCCTCCTCCTGCTCCTGCTCGTGCTGCTGCTCTCCACGTCTTGATTTCGGCCCCCCCTCCCACGGTTCCTGGCCCCGTAGGGATTTCCACCGAAGGCCCCAGTGGCAGGAGTCGCGTGGCGGCCGCCCCCCCCCCTTCGGCACGCCCCTCACACGGTTCGTGGGCCCACAGGGAGCTCCGCCGACGGCCCCAGTGGCAGGAGTCGCATTGCGGCCGCCCCTTCGTTCTGGCGCACCCCTCACACGGTCCGTGGCCCCGCAGGGAGCTCCCCCCTTCTTTGTCGCACTTGCCTCGAGGGTCCTCGGCCTTGGAGGCCATGGCCAACGCAGCAAGGCGTCGCCTCCCTCACACCACAGCGGGCACGCTGCCCCCGCTCCCCAGAGAGCCGCTCTCACGTCACCGCGCCCGCCCCGCCGAGGCCCGCCCGTGTGCCACGACCGCCCTCGGCTTCCCCTCCCCCCTCCGCGCTCCTCCCGCCCGCTCTGTGCCCCATCTGGCCCCGACGCGTCCCTCGGCTGCCCCGACCGCGCCTTGGACCCGCGCCGCCGCGACGCATGGGTGCGCCTCGACCGCGGCCCTGGCTGGCTGCAGAGGCCCCGCGCGCCCGCGCGGAAGCCTCGGGCCGCCGCCGCCTCTCGGCCCCTGGCCGCGCGCCCTCGGCCCTGCGGCCCGCCTCGGCCCGGGCGGCGCGTCGCCCGGCCTCGACCTCGGGCCGCGCCGCTCGCGCGATCGCGGGCCGGCCTCGTGCGCACGCGGAGCCGCTGGCGCGCCCGCCGACGCGCGCGCGCGCCCTGCCGCGGCCCCGCCCGGCGTGGTGCCTCGGGCGCAGGCCGCGCTGGCACCGACGCCGAGGAGGAGCTTCGAGCCCCCTCTCCCCGGACCCCCTCGCGTCGCGACAGGATCAGGGCGGGAGGTCTCTTGCTGCTTGCGGCCTCTGGGGGCCCTCGCCGGGCCCCGGGACCGTCAAGGAGCGGCTCAGGACGAGAGGCCAGTCCCAGGGAACGGGCCGAGGCCTCCGCGGGTCGACGTTGCAAGCACATCGTGCCGTCCGGGACCTGGGCCTGCGGCCGCCCTCTTCCTTGATTCACCCGCTTGGCCCCCTGCGCTCAGCCTGCGTTCGTTCCCGTACCCTGGTGGGCGGCCGCCGCGTCATCGCCCTGGGGCGCGGACCGGAAGAAGCGCTAGGCCCACGCGGGCCTCACTTCTGCGGTCGACGGCGCCCAGCCTCCGCGCTCCTCGCGAGGTCCACGCGCGCGCGACGCCTCGGCGTGTGGCGCTGGCTCACCGCATCCACTGGCTGTGTTCTGGCGGTTCCTCTCCCTCTGATGTGGTGGGCTCTCGGGGCCTCGACGCCGCGCTGGAGCCCGCGCGCCGTGCCGCAGGTGGTGCCAGCGCGGCGGTGGCCAGTCTCACACGGTCCGCTACGGGTGAGGTCGCCGCGCCGTCCGCTGCACCGTGCTCACCCACCCGCTCACGCTCGAAAAGTGTGCGTGTGCGTGTGTTTGCGTGCTTTTCCCTGTCACCATTCCGCCGAAGTAGTCGACCTCTGCCCAGCCGCCAACGTAACACGTGAGTGTGTGTGGGTGTTTATGCTTGTGTTCGTGTTACTGTTCGTGTTTGTCTGTGTGTGCTGGTCCCACGCTGGGCTGAATCAGCGACGGACTGATGCCGACGGTGGGGGCGTTCTTATCAGCTGAATTTCTAGAACGGCACGACTTTGTTATCCAGAATCGTGTCTCTTACTTGGGTGTACCTTTACTGCTCCATGGACACGCTGCGCAAGTTCTGTAAACGAAACCGACTCTTGGCTGAATCCGGCTCTCCGATCTCGTACACGGATTCGGCGATCAAAATCACTGCACGCGTGGCCACGGTCTTTGGATACCGCGACCCATTCATGCCGTCACCAGCGCTGGCATGCAAGCAAATCTTCCACGCGATGGCTTTCTTGGGCCATAGGAGAGCTCACAGAATACTCGACCTGAGGTCCTCCTTCCTCCCTGCACCTACTCTGAAGCATCGTCCTCCTCGATCCTCCTCCTTCCTTCTCTTCCCCCTGCGTCCTCTTCTTCCTCCTCCGAAAACTATCGTCCTCTCCCTCCTCTATCGCCCTCCCCCTCCCCCATTTCGTCCTTATCCTCACCGTCCATTTTCTCACCTCAACCCCTCCACTCCTCCACCCCTCCTCCCCCGTCCCTCCTCCTCTTCCTCCTCCTCCTCCTGCCTGGAAACGTCGTTCCTCCATCGTTCTTCCCCCAGAGGTCCAACGCATTGGTTTTTCCATTACGAGGTTCCTGGGAGGAGGAGGAGGAGGAGGAGGAGGAGGGAACTGAGGAGGAGGAGGAGGAGGAGGAGGAGGAGGAGGAGGAGGAGGAGGAGGAGGAGGAGGATGAGAAGGAGAAGGAGGAGGAAGAGGAGGAGGAGGAGGCTCGAGTCTGATCCCACGTCCAGTATTTCATCCGGAGTCGTTATCTGACGATCCGAGGGCCCAGCAACAGGCCCCACGTCAGAACATGTTGGAGGTCTGGGTCCCTCGTGCCTCCCACCGCCTGCTACGGCAGGCCATCAAGTACGAGGCGTGCCGGGACCGCGACTTTACGGAAACTCTGGACATGGGCGACATGATGCACGAGGCCTCCGTCAAGCCGTCGTCGTCGTCGTCGTCGTCGTCGTCGTCGTCGTCGTCGTCGTCGTCGTCGTCGTGCGTCGTTCTTATTGTCGTGCGTCGTGAGTCGTGCGTCGTCCGTTGTGCGTCGTGCGTTGTCCGTTGTTGCTCGCGGTGGTAGTCGTCTTTGTCGGCGGCGGCGTCGTCGTCGGTTGTCGCTGTGGGGGGGGGAGCGACGAGGAGTGGTAGATGGAGGCGTAGGAGTAGGGGGGAGGTGAGGGAGGCTTGAGGAGGAAGAGGTGGGAGGGAGCAAGGGGGAGGAGTGAGAGAGCGGTGGATTATGATGTTGTTGCTGCCGCTGATAATGATGATGATGATGGTGGTGGTGGTGATGATGATCGTGATGATGATGGGTGGTGGTGGTGGTGATGATGATGATGTTGGTGGTGGTGATGATGATGGTGATAGTGATGATGATGGGTGGTGATGACGATGATGCTGGTGGTGATGATGATGATGACGGTGATGGTGGTGGTGGTGGTGATGTCGATGATGTCGATGATGATGATGATGATGATGATGATGATGATGATGATGATGATGATGATGATGATGATGATGATGATGATGATGATGATGTCGATGATGATGATGATGATGTTGTTGATGCTGACGATTATTGTGATGATTAGGAGGGGTGCAGATAATGCGGAGGATGAGCGAGGATGAGGAGAGGGGGGAAGGCTGCCGAGCAGGAGCCAGGCAGAGGAGGGAGGAACAACATGATCATGGTGATGAACTGGTGAGGAGCTTGGTAGTCATTCCGATGATGTTGTCGATGATGCTACTGGTGATGCGAATACTGGATGACGACGATGCTGATGCTGATGATGATGATGCTGATGGTGATGGTGATGATAATGATGTTCTCGATGGTAATGTTGACGATGATGGTGGTGTTGCTGATGAAGCTGACGATGTATATGACGATGACGGCAATGTTGATTGTCACAACGGTAGGTTCAACAATCATAACGATTCTGACGATGATGCTGGTGATGATTATGATGATGATTCTGGTGAATGTGATGGTGATGATGATGATGCTGATGCTGAAGATGAAGTCGATGCTGATGATGGTGATGATGACGTTGGTGATGATGATGATCATGAAGCTGAGGGTGATGGTGATGATGATGGTGGTGATGATGATGACTTTGGTGCTCCTGATTATGCTTATGATGATGATGCTGATGATGATGATAATGATGATGCTGGTGGGGATGATGATGATGATGCTGCTGATGATGATGATGCTGCTGGTTATGATGATGTTGATGAAGATGAAGAGGATTATGCTGGGAACCAACAAATGGAGGGCTTTGAGCTTTTCGCAGTGGTTCTCAAATCCGCCATGTTGCCATTATTTCCGAGGCCCCCCGGTGTTTATTTAATTTCACATGCAACCCCTCAAGCGCTTGTGTGTTTGTTCCGTGTTTGTTCGGCGCGTGGTATTGTCGTGCGTTTGCTCGGCGTTGAAACATTGTGTTCGTTATGTTTTTTCGAGAGGGGGGTCATGTTGCGAGCCGTCAGTCCTGCGACCCTCCTATTTTTTCTTCCCTTTCCCTGGCCCCATCCCACCGTCCTCCCCTCCCTCCTCTTCCCTTTCCTTCCCCCCCCTACCCCCCCCCCTTCCTTCCCCGTCGCCCCTGCACCCCTTCCGCCCTCCTCCCCTTCCACCCTCCTCTTCCCCCTCCTTCCCCCTCCGCCCATTTGTCTACCCTATTCCCTCTCCGCTTCCCTCCTCTCCGCCGCCCCCCCCCCCTTCTTCTCCCTCCACTTTCTTCGGCTCTGGCCGGGGGGGCCCGCGGGCGACCTGGCGCGGCTGCGGGGGCAGCGTCGGAGGGGGGGCCGCGAGTGGCTCGATTTTGGCGGCGCGGCAACGTCTGATTTCCGCAGGAAATCGGGCGCTGTCCGTGGCTGAAATCGGGCTACTCGTCGCCTCCTTGGCTGGGGCGGCGGCGCGGTGCGATGGCGCATCTTGCGCCTTGGCTCAAGGTTTGCACCAAGTTCATCGCCGCATCGGCGGTGGACTTGGAGGACAGCGGCTCGATCATCGATCGTCGGATCATCGGTCTTCCATCCCCCGCCCCTTCGCCACTCGAGGGGCGTGGGGCGGGGGGTGGAAGGTCCATGGATCGATGGGTCGATGATCGATTATAATCGACCCTCGATCCCCGATATCCTCGACCATCGCTCCCCCCTCGGAGACCTCTCGCTCCTAGGGCGGCGACCCTCAATGCAGGGCGCCTGGGCCTCGAATCGCGGAGGTTTGATTCGAGGATCGACGAAACCTCCGCGATTCGAGGGCCCAGGATGCAGAGGGTCGACGTTCGAGGGGCGAGGGCCGAGACTCACGGGTCGAGGGTGGGGCGGGGGGCTCGAGGGCCAGTTGCCGCCTGTCCCCGCCGCAGGAGCCCATCTTCGTGTGCTGCCCCTGCGCGGGCCTCGAGACGCCCGTGCTGGCGCTCAAGGCCATGGGTTTCAAGAAGGTCGTCACAGTCGGCTCTTGGGAGGTGAGCGCGAAGCTCCTCCCAGCAGCGCTGGGCGTCCACGACGGGCGCGGCGAAGGATTGATCGCGCGATGGGGGGGGGGGGGCGGAGGAGAAGGGGGGGGGAGGGGGCGGGAGGGAAGGGGGGGGGGAAGGAGGGGGCGGAGGAGAGAAGGGGGGGTGGCGCGCGGGCTGCCCGCCCCACCCTCCCCGGGCGCCCCGCCCCCGCCCGTGCTCGGGGGCCCGAGACGGGGGTCAGTGCAAACGGGGGTCAGCCAGGGCACCAGATCCTGCAGGATCCCGCGAAGACCCCCTCTGGCTGAGCCGGGTTAGCGAGCCGCTCGTGGCCGCGAGGTGGCCGCGCCGATTGGCTGACCCGGGTTCGCGAAGACTCGCGTTGCAGTTTTTTCTTGCGTTGCAGTTTGTTCGCGAGGACTCCACTACGGCGCTTCGCAGGGCAACTTCATGAATGTGGACTTCGCCGCGCCCGAGCTTCTGCAGGTCCAGTGCATGATCTGTGGAGAGCAGGGGGGCGAAGATGTGGTCCAACTCTACTCTTCCACCTCTCAGGTGGAAGTGTAGAGTTCAGGGTCAACGATAGGTGGGGCGAGGATAGGCGTAGGGGGGGTGCGTCGACGCCCAATCGCAAATTGATCGCCGACGGGGCCCGATAGCCCCAGCTGTCCAGGAAGTTGCGGTTTCGCTATCGGGGACCTATCGGCGATGCATCGCCGAATCCAGGTCGACGAATGGGAGCTCGACATTATTTATGTCTTGGGCGTGGCCCCTCAGTGCGATGAAAAAAACTCACGAGTGGAGGGGTGAGGGGGATTTGGGGATTTGGGGGGGGGGGAAGGGAGTGGAGTGGAGGGGTGTGGGGAGGGGGGCGCAGGAGGGGAGGAGTGGAGGAATGGTGAGTAATATGATGATGACGTTAGTGATCATGATGATGGGGTGGAGGAGTGAAGATTTCGATGACCGCGACCCGCGAGGGTCAACGGGGAAGGGCAGGAGTCCTGCCCTGCCCCGTGGACCCTCGCAGGAGCCCCGTGCCCGCCCTTCTCGCGCACGGGCCTCAAGAAGGGCTGGGGCGACGTCAGGACCACGCCGTTCTGGCACGCCCTCGAGGGCGCAGTTGCGCTGGCTCGCAACCCCCACAGCCAGCTGGAGCACTGCGTCTTCGAGCAGGTGAAGAGCATCATGGACCCCCGCGGGAGGGGGGCGTAGTAAACGCCAGGGAGCTGGATGCGCGTGATGCGCCAGCCTGGGCGAGAGTTGGATGCACATATTGGCCAGATGCCATTCCAGGCATCGGCCCCCCCCATGGCCAGGCGCGGCGGCCATGGCCCTCCGCGCGCGCGTCCGCGTATCCAGCGGATGGCCCCCCATATGATCCACGCGTGAATCCAGCCGCGCGCGCTTCCTGCCCCCTGACAGTGCAACGCCGTCAGTGGGCGGGAAGCGCGGTCGCGAGATTGGGGGCGCTGGAACATTGTCGCAATGCTCCAGCGTTCCCCAATCTCGCCAAGCACCCGCCTCGCCCAGGACGTCCCGGGCGGCAGGGCGAAGTCGGAGAAGATCATCAGGGACATGATGAAGGCGCGCGGGCCGATCGCCGCTCGCTCTCCCCCAGGGCCGCCCCCTCTTTCTGGAGACCCTCTTGTTCCGCCCCCCGCTCGTCCACTCTCGGCCCGCTCGAAGGGGCTCCCCGTGGAGACGCAGCCCAACGTGTGCTGCTGGGACAAGGTCGAGGACTTCTTGCTCGAGAACCTGCCGCCGCACTGGCGCGTGACGTGGCACGTGGACCGCTGTTTTGGGGTCGGGGTCGTCGTCGCGAGTCGTCGCATCGTGGGCCGCTGTTTTGGCGCGTGGACCACGTCGCCGTGGCCGTCGTCACTTCGTCACTGTGGCGACGGCCACGGCGACGACTCGTCACATCGTCTACCCAGGGTGGACGATGTGACCGTCTCCCGTCGTCGTCGTCGCGGCCAGCGGCGACGGCCGCGGCGGCGACGACGACGGCGACGCCGTCGCTAACGATGGATAGGAGGGGGGCGGGGGGCAGGTGATGGGGGCAGAGGGGGCAGGGGGCTCGAGGGCTTTAGAGGGGCGGGGCCAGGGGGCCAGGGGCCATCAATGACGGGGCCGCACCTCTACAGGATCGGACAGGGCATGGGCACGATGGCAAGATGGGGGCTCGGCCCGAGCCCCCATCTTGCCATCGTGCCCATGGCTCGGGGGCGCGCGGGGGCTCGACGAGCTCGATGGGGGCTCGGGCCGCTCCGAGGTCGTAGTCGTCGGCAGCGGCCCCGGGCCGACGGGGCCGAGCCCAGGGCGGGCGGCGGGGGGGGGGCCCGGGGAGAGCGGGCCGCCGATGCAAACATTGGCCGCCCGCAGCTGGACGCTGACATCTTCGGGGCGGCGCAGCACCGCGAGCGGCTCTACGTGGTGCTCTCCAACACGCTGCGCGAGGCCG